AGAGATAGCACAAGAGGGAAGGGGGTCAGAGGGAGAAACAGACTCCCCGCCGAGCAGGGAGCCCAATGTGGGACTCGATCCCGGGACTCCAGGATCATGACCTGAGCCGAAGGCAGTCGCTTAACCAACTGAGCCACCCAGGCGCCCTGCATGTGTAGAAGAATTGAAGGACATTTACAGAGCACATGCCTGTTAATATCACTGAAACTGTGAATTTACTGAAAGGAAATGCTGAATAGACAAAAATTAGCAGTCAGGTGAGGAGTCAGGTGAGGAGTCAGGTTTTAAAGGAGAGAAAGCTACAGGCATTTCAGGTAGAGAGCATAGCATAAACCTAAGTGAAAACAAGTAGTAACTCAGTGATACAGGGTCCTTGGAGGACAATGAAGAAGAAGTTGGTTGAAATAGCTGGTCAGATATTAAGCCAAAGCACTTAATGTGGTAAGAAACCAGATGAAAGTGAATTGGGAGAGTAGGACATTGTAGAAGGATGGTGAAATCAGAATGCGCTTAAGAATTACATAGACCCAAGGTGTCTGGGTGTCTCAGTTGGTTAAGTGCCTGCCTTTGGCTCTCGTCATAATCCCAGGGTCCTGGGATTGAGCCCTGCATGGGGCTCCTTGCTCAGTGGGGAGTCTGCTTCTCCCTCTCCCTCTGCCTGCCACTCCCCCTGCTTGTACTCTGTCTCTCTCTCTCTCTCCTCTCTCTCGTGTCAAATAAATAAAATCTTAAAAAAATGATGTAGACCCATGATAAAAAGATGGTAGTGACTATGATAGTGAACTTGCAGATACAAAGCCATGGGCTCATTAAAAACTATTAGGAAGAACAAACAAAATGTGAATGTTGGTTAGGGAGAGCAAAGAAATCAAATTACTTAGATGTTGTCAGCCTTTGGATCTAGGAATATAGTGCTTTAATTAACATGGAAAAAAATTTATTATGGTAGATGAAAAGTTTTATTTAGTGTTGACATTCTACATTAAAGATATTTTGGGGTACCTAGAACAGAGATAATAAGACAGTCGGTGACCAAAGCTTGAAAGATCAGACATTTGAGTCAGGATTGCCCAAGTAGGCTCACCCACAGGCTGGTTTTCACTGAGCTTAATTAAGGTAGAGTGTCCACCTTACTCTCTGAGTCCCCTCTGTAAGTGAAGTTAGAGAAAATAATAATCAAAAGGATTTTTTCAGGAAATGATATGGAAGAGTGGAAGAGATATCCCAGTAGTTTACTACTCACTCTGGATAGTTAAATGGTTAAATAATAAGTAAAGGAGGCATCAGAATCAAGGAGGCATCAATAAGAGAATCTAGATTTCAGGTTTATTTTAAAATTGAAGTAGATTACTATGCTTACATGTCCATGACAGTAATAGATCTAAAGCAACCGACCTTATTCTTACTTTCCTCTGATCTCTCTCCTGATGTTTTCAGGATTATGGAATTTATGAAACATGATTGTATAATCATTCAATTTGAAATACCCAGTTGGAGGAAGAGGGAAAAATAAACCTTGGTGGCATCCCTTCATTCATACCCCTTTTCTGTCATTTCTATTAAAAACACATATTCAGAACTCACTCTTAAATTGTTTACCACCATCATTCCAACTCTGATTATATTTCTTTTTTACTAGTGATAGCAGGCTAATATTGTGTTGTTGTCAAAGATTCAGGCATTATCAAAAAGATTTTGAGCTCCATTTATTTGCCTTGGATATTTGCATCCTATTTCTAAATGTTCTCAGAAGGGAGAAGGGGGCAGAGGAGGTGGTCTTACTATTTCTTAAAGCTCAAATGACACAGTAGAGTACTTTTAGAGACATCTTGATTCTATTAGAATTTTCAGGTCAAAGGGCAGGTTCAACTGTTATGTAGTTTAAAGCACCAGGGATGGATTGACAAGACCTCTTTAATGACTTAAAGTTGGATTTCTGCTACTACTTACTCATTATGCAAGTAATATGGCATGTTAGTCAAGCAGTAGGGGGCCACTAATCACTTTGAAAGGTTCTGTGTATACATTTTCTTTTTCTTTTTTTTAACTGAGGAAAAGACATTAACAGAACAAGGAGCGTAATTTAGCAGGACGAGCATTGCAGTTCTTATTTTGCTCTGGGCTTGTGGCATACATATATTACCTTTCACATTATACGTGCTTGTATCACTCCCTAGGGGCTCATGGGAAATGAAGTCAGAATGTGCCTCACTAGCAAGTCTTCCTTTTCTGTAGATAGACTTTAGTTAGTAAAGCTCTTGAAGTCAATTATTAATCCCCATCAAGGTTCATTTTCTTTAAAATAGCCATGTTAGACTTAGAATAGGTGACTTCCACGTCTCAAGCAATTGATTCTGATTAAAAAGGAACTATTTCTGGTATTTTTATTTTCTTCTTTTTAGTTTTCTGGATCTTCCAGTTTTTGTTCCAGGAATGCATATTACTTTTGTCAGAAAATACCTTTCTTTTTTCAAAGAACCAATTATATTAAGAGTTAAGTGGCTACTAAAATAAGATTCTTTTTGTAATTTGCTTTTTTTTTTCCCCCACTCTGAATTCCATTCCCTCTGAAAAGCAGGGTGTTCTTTAAAATTTTCTAGTTTCAACACTTTTGAGTGCTCTCTGTAAATCTTAACCACATAAGTTCAACCATACCATACGGTCTTTTCTATCAAATGTATTGAGGGAACAGCAGTTTTTCTTATTCCCAAAAATTAGATGGCTGTTACTATTTATTAGCTTTAATATTCTTGCCTATCTTCCAAATTTTTAAGAGATTGCTCTCCCCTGTAGTTGTCTATTTCAAATTTACCAAAATTGTAGACAAGAGAATACTCTTTCCAAAAACAAAAGAAAAACATAAAAGCTAATATATCCATAAAAAATACTGACATTACCCAAAGTTTATATGCTTATATTGCAGTATGTAATCAACACATTTTATTCTCCTAACTATCAATTGACCTTTTTAGGCACATACACATGTAGAAATCACTATTAGGAGTATACTTTTAAAATGGAAAAGACAGTGGTATGTTAAGCTGTTAGGGAATTTTTGGTTAAGAGCAATGGGTATGGGAGAGAAAGTTTGATTCTGTGCAGTTTGTAGTATATTATCAATGCTCAATTAAAAACATAAATGACAATAAAATTTCTATTTGGATTTTATATAAAAAGAACAAAAGACTTAAAATTATATATCTTAGTAAAAAAGGCATTATTCCAGTGGCTCAGAGTCTAGTACTACATCCTTTATTTTAAAATTTAGAATCTGAATTGTCCTCTGTTATATCATATTGCAGTTTGGGAATGTGACATTTTACCCCAGAAATTAACTGTACCACCCACCCTAGCTGGTCAAGCATATCATTTATAAAAGAATTTGGAATTCAGTCAAGATGCTTCACCAACATAGAATAATTTTTACTATTTCACATTATGATGCTTTTCTTAAGCACAGAATGGAACTCAGATCCCATCACCTTTGTATATTCCATTTTGCAAAGGTGCTCTTTACTTCATCTGATTGGATAGAGTAGTTTATCTTTCATTCACCTTCTGTTATTTGCCTGCTGCTAAATGTGTAATTCTGACTATTGGTGCACAGAAATACTGCAGCACCCTTATTGAGAAAACGCATTTCTCATTACAGCTTTGTCAGTCTTTGAGCTTCCCCAAAGGGAACAGATGACAGCAATGAGCAGGAAATTGTGCATAGTGAGACCAACTTGAACTCCTTCACCTTTAAGCTCATTTCACCACTTAACATATTTTTTTCAAGTGGTCAGTGGATATATTTAGACTATCGTTATCCCTTTGCTGTTGACTAAAGCTTCATGGGATAAGCCGTCTGCCGTTTTTTAGAATTATACAGAGTGTGGGGACAGTGGAAAATTACACTGGGGTCAATGAGAATCTTCTTCCCTTCCAACAACAAAGACTAGTTAAACAAATCTTCATTTCCATGATGTAAGCTGATCTATCTCCTCCATTTGTTAGTACTGCTTGTTCAGAGTTCTCCAGACCTACCCAACCAGAAAACAGAAAATCCTTGTCAGAATATGCAAAAGATAGTCTTCCAGTTTGTGGCTAAACTAAAACTCTTCCAGATGACTGCTATTGAAGCATAATTATCTTAACAAAAGACAGAAGCAAGGTTAAACTTGGGCACTTCATTCTCAGATTCAGCATTTCCTCAGGTCAAAAGCTCAGGCCACTTAAATAGTTCCTGTAAATCAAATCTGCGTTCTTACAGATGATTTAAATAATAGATGAGCTATTGAGGAATGCATTTTTGCCAAGGAGACTAATTGTTCACCAACTTCATTCAGATTATTTTGTAAATTTCTCATGTTCACCCCTCTTCTAAATCCCACCTTCTTTTCCTTCTGGATGTGAACCAAAAAGTAGTTAGCTAAACCACAAGGAATCTGTAAGGTTCAAGTTATTGTTTCAAAGTGCACAAATCATTGCCAAAGAAAGCCACGACTGGAAACTTATTTGCATTGATGAGAGAAAGAGAATTGTAGATGTTTAGAATGTCCCAAGAACAGATGGCTGATTTTCTAAATCCTATTTCCTAATGTTTACAATTTGTTACACAGTCTATACATAAGAATGTTTTCAGTTTCAGTAATGCCTCAATTTGCCTGGCAGGTACAGAATGCTTATCAAAAGAATGAATTAAATGGGTAAAATGTATGGGTGATAGTTTTATTCTTAGTTTTAAAAAGTTATTAATTTTATTTACTTTTTGATTCTAACTATAAATAGGAACTCTTTATTAAGATGTCAGTATAACACATGATAAAGACATTTAGAGTCGGAGAAACCTGAGTGGGATTCCTAGCTGCACCATTTACTTCAAATGTGAGCTTGGGCAAGCTATATAAACTCTCTGAGCCTTGGTTTCATCACCCATAAAATGGGGGTGATAATAGTAACTTCAAAGGATTGTTTTGAGGATAAATGAAAGTCCTGGAATTTTCTTTATTTTGTAGGCAAGAAGCTCTTCTGGCTGCCATTAGTGAAAAAGATGCCAACATAGCTCTTTTGGAGCTTTCATCCTCTAAGAAAAAGACCCAAGAGGAAGTGGCTGCACTGAAGCGGGAGAAGGATCGTCTGGTGCAGCAGCTCAAGCAGCAGGTATAACGAAATGCCAGGGAGGGCCCATGGTGGAGGGGCAGTAAGACCAGCTCTCACGTCATTCTCTACCTTTGTCTTTGCCAGCTTATATTTTAAGGTCTCGTGTCTCATATTAGACGTCTGATCTTTTTATCTAGCTAGGTTGTTTGTTTTTTTCCCCCAGAGGGAGAGAGGGGAGGGAAGGGACAGACAGAATCCTAAGCAGGCTCCACGCCCAGCACAGAGGTCTTTGCAGGGCTCAGTCTCACAACCCTGCAATCACGACCTGAGCCAAAATCAAGAGTTCCGTTGCTTAACCAACTGAGGCACCCAGGCGCGCCTCTAGTTATGTTCATAAGCAGGGACTTTAATCTTCTTCACAAATCTTCTGGCTATACCTAGGAATTAGAGAGTGTTCTTGGTAAGAGCACTGGTTTAGAAGATGTTACAAGACTTCTATGAAAGGGTTTTTTTAACATAGCTGGATGAAATTAGCAAAGTTCTGCCCGCTTAAAATGAAAAAGGCTTATTTTTTACATCCAACCAAAGTCCTACTATAGAAGGCACTAAGTATATTTTTACTTAAACAATTTCTAGCTACTCAGAGCTGAGTAAGCTTTGAAGGTAAGAGCAAAGTTTTGCCCTTTTCTTTTCCGACCTAATCCCTCCCCAAATTTAATGCTTCATATTTATGTAAGACCTGTGAAAATAAAAGCTAAACATTTCCCCTCTGTTAATGGTTGGACAACAGTGTAGATGTACTTAATGGACACTTAAAAATGGTTAAAAGGATAAATTTTATGTTATATATATCTTATGATAATTTTAAAACTTGGGGGAAAAAAAATCTTTGAGAATGAAGAGAAAGCTGAATTTTAAAATCTAAGTCCCCTTTTTTATCTTAATGCTCTTCACTGGCCACTCTTGTACTGTTTGCTGTGTCCGCAAGTCCTGTCTTCCGGTACCATCTGCATTCTCAGTAACATTTTCTGTGCATTGTGTCTGCCTGGACTTGCTCTTCCACCTGAAGTAATAAGACTGGGAAAGAGTTTTTCAAGTGAAGGGATTTCTTCTTTTCTACTCTGGGGGATCAGTCATCAATTGATAGCATTTTTAACATAATATTTAATGTTCCAATTAACAAGAATCAGTATTTAAACAATAAAGATATTTCTGTTTGTAGACCAATATTAAAACTGCTTAGAAATAGATTTTATGTTTTATGTGGCCAACCACATAAATACCAAAAGATGTCCCTTTTCTATAGGATAGGTCGATGACCAGCAAAAAAATAATCCTTTGCCCATTTATAAGCAGAAGAATCTTTTCCAGTGTCCTAAAATATTTTGCCACAGGAAGAAGACATCATCTAGTATTTGGATACCTATTAAGTAAAACAGGAAGAATGTGCTTAATATTAAAGACATCTGTCCAGTAGTTCAAAACTGAAACTTGGCTTATCGAAGCTGATAATATGAGTTGAATAGTGGTTGCAGTGGCCTAGGAAGGTGGGGAAGATGGGGAGGTGTTGGTCAAAGAGTACAAAGTTTCAGTTATGCAAGATGAATAAGTTCTGGGGATCTAATACACATCATGGTGACTATAGTTAATAATATCCTATTGTATATTTGAAATTTGCGAAGAGTAGATTTTAAGTGTTCTTAAAAAAGGTAACTGTGAAGTAATAGAAATGTCAATTAGCTTTATTGTGATAGTGATTTCATGATGTATACATGTATTAAAACATCACATTGTATACCTTAAATAAATACAGTTTATATTTGTCAGTTGTATAACTGCTGTGGGGGGGTGCTGATATATGAAAAAGGAGGTTATTGTTGAAGAAAGGCGTTCACTAGTTTGTGAGTGTGTATATTTAGCAATATCGGTTCTCCTAAGTAGTTAGGCCTAAATATATAGACAAGATTTAAGTGGTTCCTGGTCCCTCTACTTTCAGACACCAAACAGAATAAAATGTCTAGCAGACTAGAGTACTGTATCTCATTCATAGTGGCTTTTGATTACTTCGTTCTCAAGGCTATATGTTTTCAGTAGGTGAAAGTTAAGGATATTCATTGATCTATGAACTCATAATCTTAAAAAAGAGCAGCTTAATGTCTTTCCATCTCACTATATGCCCTAAATATTCTGTAGTGATGTGATCTATGTAAGGAGAAAGATAAATGTAGTTCTTGGGAGCCCTTCCAACAGTGTTTTTTGTCTGCTTTCCATGTAAAGTTTCACATTCCTGCCCTCTCGGAGTGTCTAGGTTGTTGTGAGCAAGAAGGAACTGGTCTTGCCAAAGATATTTGATTCTTTAATTTTTTCTAAGTGTGTGTACTAACTTTTAGACAAGGGAGAGGCCTCTTGGAAAGAGGATATGGCATCAATATTGTTTTAATTTAAAGTTTCTAGTCCTTGAATTGCTGGAATGTGCCTCAATCTAAAGGCCATTTCCTACCAAGGAGGCAGTCAGCGTTGACCAGGCTTTCCAGTAAGCAGAGCTGCCACTGCCTGATGGGCTCTTGGCATTCGTGTGCAGTTCCTAGTGTTCGAAAGAGGTGAAGCAACAAGGGGTTTACAGATTTGGGGGTCACCCGCTTAAATGGGCCCAATTTGCATACCCACCCCAGGGTACCTTGTCTCCTTGACTCATTCATGGCAAAGCAGCACTTGGAGAGGCTGCATTAGAGGAAGGGGCCAGAGCCAATGAAAAAACTAAAAAATAAAGGTTGTCTAACAAACTCCAGATGTGCTGTGGTGGGTGCCAACCAGTGTGTTCGGATTATAAGTCATGAAGAAGCCCCCGCTGTGATTGTCAAGCACCCACGCTGGATTTAATGTAAACTCACATGGAACCCTGGAAAGCTTGAACACAGTCTGTTTAGCCACAGCAGCTGTCACAAGATGGCCTTTCTCTCAGCATTATTTTCTTCTTTTCGCCGCTGGAATTTTACAACCTCCATATTGTATTTGCTGTTAGTGTAAAGTCTGGCTCTGCCCCTGTGTGCTCTATACAGAATGTGTCATGGGCAGATTGGGCTTTTCAAAACAAGCTGCATGGTTTGGTTTGGTTTGGTTTGATTTTTTTCCTGTTTTTTAAAGGTCAACTATAACATTAGAAGAGGAAAGGCTACAAACTTAAACTGATTTGGTTCAAATCTAGACAATCTCATTTACAGCTATGATTGTAGAATCCTCTGCATTAGGATGAAATGTCAGACAATATATTTCTTTGTTCCAGCATGGTCTAGGCGTGAGGGATAGAAAGAGACAGTACTTGCCTTAAAAAAGAAGCTCACAGTATAGTGCTTAAAATACTAGTTGTTCTAAACATTTGGCAAAACCATTCTGTAGAAGGGAGCCTTACCATCTTTTCCTGCTGACAGCCTCAGCAAATCATCCCTGCATTACATGATTTATTTGCCCATTCATTTCAGATTCTTTGAGTATCTACTGTGTGTCAAATATTGTATTCGTGGAAAATGAATGTCTCTCTTCCTAGTTAACAGCCTGGCAGCTAATCAGACCTAGGTTGTACCTCTAGCTGTCTCTTTTACCAGTTTGACACATTACTTCTCTGAGATTCATTGTGCCTCGTCTATAACATTTGGATAATGTTACCTACCTCACAGGGTTGCTGTGCACACCCATAGCACTTAAGCTCCCACTTCTGTTCCCTCTCAGAGATCTCTGTTTCACAGTGAGCACTGTTCTATGGGTATTACAGGCTACATTGAGAAAAGGGGGGACTTCAACAACTATGGTTCTCATTCTGTCATCTATAATAACTATTGAATTTTCAATAGGACTATAGTATTTTTCTTAAGATTTTATTTTTAAGTGATCTCTACACCCAGCGTGGGGCTTGAACTTATAACCCTGAGATCAAGAGTCACATGCTACCGATTGAGCCAGTCGGGCAGCCCTCAATATCACTGTAGTATTTAGAATTCTACAACTAGCACATTGTGTTCTACTCCTGTGAGGAAGAACATATTTCTCAGAGCAGTTAGGAGAATAACTGGTACACTTTATCCTTCCTTTTTTCTACCTGTTTTTTTTTTAATGATACAACTATAAGACAGCTGTTTTCAAAAATAATTTTAATATGTTTTTCTTAAGTCTTACATTTTCATCATCGAAGAGCATTGTTAAAATGCCCACCTGCCTGAAATTGTCAGCACTAGGAACATTATAACTCCAAGCATGCGTTCTGTCTCACTCACTCTCTAGTTCTGTGACTTTCCACTTGCATACATGCCTCTTCTACCCCTGACTCATATGACTTTGCAGAAATATGTGAAAATAGAATAACTACAAAAATGGCTACCACTTATGAGTTGACTATAATATGCTGGGCAGAGTTGCTTTGTATACATCATATCTAATCCTCACCACAGTTCTGGACATATATGTCTTTATTATGTGGATGAACCACCTGAGACGCCAAAAGATTAAATTTCTTGGGTAAACTTCCACAAGGACTAAGTGGTGGGACGAGAACTGGTTCTCTTCTTACTCCTACCATCTTATGTGGAAATTCCAGACAGTTGGTAATTAGAAAAGTTGTAGTGGAATTAGAATAATACAAACAGTGCAGGGGCACCTGGGTGGCCCAGTCGGTTAAGCATCTGCCTTAGGCTCAGGTCATGATTCCAGGGTCCTCGGGATCGAGCCCCAAGTCAGGCTCCCTGTAAAACAGGGAGCCTGCTTCTCCCTCTGCCTCTGCCACTCCCTCTGCTTATACTCCCTTGCACTCTGTCTGTCAAATAAATAAAATCTTTTTTTTTAATTAAAAAAAAATAATACAAACAATGCTATTTCAAGTCTTTATGGCACTCATTTGTTCCCCAGAGAGATAGGAAAGGGTATTTATTTATATTCCAAACCCTCCCCTCTCTGCCTCCGAAGAACTTGAAACAAAAAGGAGATGGTGGATTTGTCCCTGTTCTTCAAATTACTGAAAGGAGTGATATGAACTTGAAGCTACAGAATTACAGTGAAGTATAATTTAGCTGCTTTTATATCTCTGGAGATGGCAGTCCTATAGTAGAACTAAACATGCTGTTCTCACAGTGCGCCTTCACGTTCTGCCTTCTTTGAACCATCTGCAAACAACTCCTAAAAGCACCAGCTGGGAGCCAGCCTCCCAGAGACTTTGACCATCCTGAGTATATGGAGACTTCAACTTCAGAGCGATTATAGAGGAGTGTTTGGTCCCCTGGGTCCCCAGCCTATATACGGATAGTGAAGGGATATTCTAACTCTGTAGCTATCCAGCAGGTAGCCTTTGTGGCCAGTCTGTTTGGCCTTTACATGGTGTTAAGAAAATTGCCCACCTAACCAATGCCCCCTGAACCTTTATCACCTATGAACGTGACATGCGTGAATTAAAGAGCAATTACAGTCTCCTTCCAAGAGCAGGCAGTCAGAGTAGTCGTTTCAGGGTCCTGGAGGTTTAAAACTATTGTTCTTAAAGAATATTTAGCTGACCACCCACTTGAGATTTAGACTGAATTAATTTAATTGCTTTTCAGGATGAGTTTCTTTTTAAAAAAACAAAAGGGGCGCCTGGGTGGCTCAGTCGGTTAAGCGTCTGCCTTCAGCTCAGGTAATGATCCCAAGAGCCCCCACATCCGGCTCCCTGCTCAACAGGGAGCCTGCTTCTCCTTCTGCCTCTGCCTGCCACTCTGCCTACTTGTACTCTCTCTCTAGCTCTCTGTCAAATAATTAAATAAAATCTTTTAAAAATACAAAAAACAAAAATTAGAAAATCATTATGCTTTTAAAAAATAATCTGAAGTAACCACCTCTAAAATACTAATTTTTCACAATCACAGATTACCCTGGAAACTTAGTTCTCAATGATGTTATTCACTGTGAACTTTAAGCTCTTGAGTTCCATAGGCAAATGCTCTACTTTCTGTAATAAGATAATACTAAATTAGATCTAAGTAAAATAAGTAGATAAGGCAATTCACTCATAATGAGAAGCCCCAAATTTTGATTGGTTGCTTTTTTTTTTAATCAATCACTGCTTTTGAGTTATATCACGAAAATGTTTTAGGCTTTAACCTTTTCTTATCAAATATTAATTTCTTGTATTCATAATTTTTTATGAAAATTACTGTCAGCATTAAGCCTGCAATTCTTTATACCTTCCGTATTCCCCTTCTCCTCCAGGACTGGAACTACTCTCATTGATGATATGTTAAGACAACTATCAGGAACTCTCCTCTGTGGGGATACTGACATCAAAAATCAGTTGAGTTTTGAAAAGATCTTTATAAAGTCAGGATGGCCTCACATCTTTTATTGCACACACACACGTTTGGCTCTCTGTAATGCTGAGTATTTGTCTTGCTTCCCGTTGTTGTGTTTGCAAAATTCTATCATCATTTTCTAACAATATCTCCTGTGAGGAAAACAGGTTATTAATAATGTAGTTCCGTTTCACAGAAAGTAAAATCAAGGCCACTGATCAGCTAACAGCACAAATCAGCTATAGGTATCAAAGAGTAGGTCATACTTTAGCACAGATAGCATACACCATCCTGTTGGTGTTCCTACTTGGAATTCTGGGGCTGTAATACAAGACAACCTTAGCATTTCCCCTGCTGTCCAGGAATCTCTTCTTCCTTGACCCACACCCTTTACTGTTAACAGACCCTTCCAGACTCTCATCTAAACTAATTTAGCAACATGCACCAATTATTATTTAGTGCTTACTGTATACCAAGCCCTCCCCTAGGTGTTGGTGATAGAAGGGTAAGCAAATAAATATGGCTCTTGGAGACTTCTCTTTATTGCACATTCAACTACTTTATCTAGCATTCCTAGGTATTTTGTCACATAAGAATTTTCAGGTCATCTAGTTTGGCATAGAAGTTGTACTTCTTTCATACTACACAAGAAAATTGAGCAAAAATACTTACTAATGATTTGTCACACAATTTCTCATTGTAAGAACTCTAATTTTAATTTGTC